CCCTGTATTCTATAAAGTCAAATCACGCATTGTCTTGTAAATAATGTAAGGTGCACTTTGGCCACCTAAACTTAATTTAAGGTCGTTGACTTTAAACCACTTGCCCCTCACTGCTGTGGGTTCGAATCCCGACAGGGACTTGAATTCTTTCATGTGAGCAAGCTATCCAGCTAGCTTGCAGAACGTCGGTGGTTCTATTAAGGTACCCGTTTGTGCCTGAAATAATGCACGGAGGGGCACCTGAGGTCTTCCTCCACCAGTAAAGCTGGAACGTCACGATATGACCTATACTGTGTCGAAGTGACGTAAAACCCAATCAAACAATCAAACTTAATTTAACTAATTAGAAGCAAACATGGACCTATTTACTGTACGGTAGTTCCAAAGCAACGGAAAGTTGATCCACTTCATAAATGGTAGGATATTAAAACAGTTTTATAAACATTCTGATCTTATTTATAAGAATGATATATTAAACCTATTTAAAACAATCTGGATGTAAAACCCTCTAGCTATTATGGGCATTATAGTGTTAGTTATTTATAAATTAATTACAGAGTGATGAAAAGACTACAACAACTACAAAAAAAGAAAAAGACTCCGTATTTTCTGACCATTGTGACATGAGCAACGTAAATTAGACCACTTCGCTTATTCAATATCATGACAACCAATTTCAGTCCCAATGCATTGTTTATTTCAGTATTTTGACCCCACTTGTAATCCAGTCAACCACTACTTAGAGCACAAGTTTGCTGTTATTATCCTCTTGAATAGTTTTAGCATGAAACTTGATGGTCAAGATTTTTAACCGTTAGGAAATTAAATAAAAAACATAAAGAATACATATAGAACTATACCTATATATCAATGAAATTTTCAGTGTTAGTTATAGTTGGGGGGGGGGGGGGGGGGGGGTGTGCACCATTTTCACTGTAACTCACTGATAATAGGCGGGGGTATTCCGATAACGGAACAACCGCAACTTTTCGGATTAATGATAATCGTTGAATACCGAATGACACATCTCAAACGGAAAAATAAAAAGTTTTTTTAACCGACTTCCCCGTTCATAAGCCTTGCCTACTTTTATATAATTTATATTGATGTTAAATGTTTTTGCCATATAATGTATGTAAAGTAAGGTAATTTTATTGTTGATTTGCCAATAAACTTACAAATGCATAAAGTAAGGTGAGAAAATAAATTTTAGTGGGATTTAATATTGTTTTCTGCATTTTTTTTATGAATCATTTACTTTAAATTTCCTATTGATAGGTGAATTATGTACGTGATTAAATATTTAAACCAGACCAACGATAATTTAATTACCTGCTTTCATCAGTTTAAATAGTATAACACCTTTTTTATAGTAGCATTTGAAAGTTATAAAAATATTATTTGAACTTGTTCATCAAAATGAAAAAAATATGGTCATGAAATATATATGCCATAATCAAAATATCTGCAAATGAAAATTCTCCGCAATTATAGTTAACGATTACACCACGTTGGTCTTCTTTATAAACGTGTTTTACTGTAACAGTATAACCAATACAACCAAATATGTTTTCGATTGTCTTCGTGACACTTACAAACTTGCTTGCATGATTTCAGTCGGCCATATTCCCTAGCCATGAATGATAACTCCCTGTTTCCCTGTCTAAAATTCCACCAAATTATTCCCATTTTAAATGAACTCAAAGAAGGGACCTTTTAAAAAGACTTTGTACTTATTTATTCGATTTTTTGTTCAGAAACGGACAATTTTTTCTTTAACTTTGTATAATTTGCTTTCTATCTATATATGGTTCCTATGGTAAACATATGAGTTTTGATGGTAAACAAATGAATTTTCTGAACCGAAAGTAACCTAACACACAGCGTTGCTGTCATCACATGTAAAAAATACATTAAATCGGTAAGAATATTGAGATATTTAGTTTCAAATGCAAATTAAATATAAATATGGAAAACAACTATGTGTAGTTTATGTGTATTGTTTTAATGTGTTTGTCTGCTATTTTAGTTGTAAAAGCCATGTACACTTAGTGTCGCTTCATAGCAACAGAGTTTAAAACGTGAGCGGTAACTGAACGAGATATGGCAAAGCGCATGCTCGCGCACTGACTTCCGCTCTATCGAAATACTGTATATACATATAGCGAAAGTTCGTTAGTGCGTGATATACAAACTCTAACGTCTAGCATAAATTAGGTTTTTGCATTGATCATAGGACAGCTCTGTTAGCTGGCAGTCCTAAAAAACTAAACTCCACCACTCGTCAAAAACTCAGGTTTCTCACGTTTTGATCGAACAGTCTTACCCGTGTTTCTGCCAGTTTCTTTTTGTTTTGCTTAAAGATATGACATTCTTGCATCGTCAATGCTCAAGTACTATACAAATTACTTAATAAAATGTTTTTTCAGAAGTGATGATTATTCGGGCTAATGACCGGAAACATAATTATTTCCAAAATGAGGTCATGGCTTAACACTGATTCGGCCTGAGGGATATTGCATTCCTCATTATCTCTCACGAATACACTAAAATAAACCGAGTCGGTCATATAAACTCCTTTTTTTCTTTTATTTTAGTGCTCTTTGTGCTCTTGAGGGATCTTAACTTTTCTCAAGAATGAAACTTTTTAGTAACAACTTGCTAATTCTAATTGAAACGTCATACTGTTTCATTTATTTCCCACAGCATTTCATGTCAAATCGTGCCGTGAACTACATTTCTTAAGGTCACACTGAGGTCAGATTTCATATCATGATTACAAGTCAATCATACGGTGGCATAAAGGTGACATGTGTGTGTGTTTTTATTTATCTCGTGCACACAAGATACTATGTCGTGGCCACGAGTCACTAATTCGTGGCCACGAGATAGCTAAGTCGTGGCCACGATTTAGCTATTTCGTGGCCACGACTTAGTAACTCGTTGCCACGAGAAAGCTTAGCCGTGGCCACGAGATACTATGTCGCGGCCACGAGATAGCTAAGTCGTGGCCACGAGATAGCTAAGTCGTGGCCACGAGATAGCTAAGTCGTGTCTAAGAGATACTATGTCGTGGCAACGAGTTACTAAGTCGTGGCCACGAAATAGCTAAATCGTGGCAACGAGACATAAGTCGTGGCCACGAGTTACTAAGTCGTGGCCACGAGATAGCTAAGTCGTGGTCACGAGATACTATGTCGTGGCCACGAGTTACTATGTCGTGGCCACGAGTTACTAAGTCGTGGCCATGAGATAAATAACAATCAGATTACACCATTTATATGAATTTTCCTAATTAACTAGACATGTGCTATAGTACAAGGATGCCCCTACTTCTCCAGCATGTAAAAGTGCCATTTATACAACTTATTGACTGGTCAATAATTTTACATTTAGCGTCACTGTGACCCTGATTTTTGACCCAATGATCTCGAAATTATTAGATGTCATCTACTATCAGGTGCAATGATCTTTCTGCGTTATATAAACCATGGCTTATCCCTTCTATATTATTTATCAGACAAGGATTTTACATGAAGTGTCATGGTTACCTTGACCCTTGACCTCAAACATCCTTATAGGCTATCTACTGTCCATGGGCAATGTCCCTTCCAAATAAAACAAGTAAAATGGTTTCCTGCGGTGAACATTTTTATGATATAAAGATATTTCATTTAACTATTTTCAACATTATTTGGGGGGGGGGGATAAATAAACGTGTGTATCAGGAATATAGTTGACAATAATCGATCAATATAGAAAAAGGTATTTGGAAACTGGTGACCGTTGAAGAACATAAAACAATTATTTCTTTTTAAGAAAATGATTAAATAGGCCGAATTATTCCGAGCAAAAAATAAATTAAGTAAACACACAAGTTTACGCAGAAAATATCTCTATTTATTATGGCAGATGCCCCTACAAATGTTTTAATTTTGTAGATTTTCAGTTTAAACAATTTATTGTTTGTAAAATTTGAGATAGATATTAAGGAAACATTGATAATTTTTAAACACATCATTCCAGTTTTTCCACCTTAAACGGTAAAATAATTATAGAAAATTAGAAATATCACGTAATAGTTTTTTGTTCTCAATTAGGTATAATTCGGACTAATTCCCTACAGGTGAATCCGTAACGTACCGGCTAACGGTATTTAGCTGGGTTTTCGAAAAGGTCAATTAACCAATCATATACGGTTTACAGATCACATGCTCCTCCATGTACCGAAAACAGGTCACGTGCTCCTCCATGCCTCAAAAGTTAAACGCGTATCAATACCCTGCGGTCTCCAGACCGCAGGGAATAAACCAGGACTTATTCCTTCTCATGTTATCGTATAAACAAGGTTAACAGGCCGCAGTACGTACAGACTGACCAATTCGATCACACAATTGTCCCAACAAAGGGCTATAGTCAAAATTATTGCGAGATGGGCCTTGGAACGTGACTTTCTAATATGATCCTAAAGACAAGTTCAAAGTGAATATCTTCAGTATTTTCAAAGATTAATGTTCAATGCAAAAGTAAGTTGTTAAGTTTAAAAAGTTCATAATACATTTGTATATATAGTGTATTCTGATTTGTTAATTATCTCGTGCGCATGACTTAGTTATCTCGTGGCAACGGCTTAGTGACTAGTGCCCACGACATTGTATCTCAAGGCCACGACTTAGCTTTCTCGTGGCCACGACTTAGTAACTCGTGGCAACGACATAGTATCTCGTGGCAACGACTTAGCTATCTCGTGGCCACGACATAGTATCTCGTGGCCACGACTTAGCTATATCGTGGCTACGAATTAGTAACTCGTGGCAACGACATAGTATCTCGTGGCAACGACTTAGCTATCTCGTGGCTACGAATTAACTCGTGGCCACGACATAGTATCTCGTGTGCACGAGATAAATGAAAACACACACATGTCACCTTTGCGCCACCGTACAATCACGATTTTCACTCACAGCTTCTTACATGTCGTAAATCTGCCTTACATAGATAAGGAAATATAAACAGATGTCACTTCCCATCTGTCTGTGACCCTATAAAGGCAGATTTCTACAAAGGGTTCTCATTGTCGGTTTTGTATCACAAGTTTGACAACAAATATGCAACTTTTGATCGCAGTTTGTATGGTGGGTAAGTAATTTAAAACACCTTTTTTCGACCGTGGACTGTTTTTTTCCACATTGACCTTCGGTAAATTTACGGGCTATCTGCCAGACTCTTCCGGGAACTTACCGGTCAGATGTGCTGCGTCATAAACAAATAACAGAATATATGAAGGATATTGAAATTGGATTTGTAATTTTTGTTTTTAATTTCGATGTGAAAAGACAAAACAATATCAAGATTATATTGACAAAACATTCGTACTGGAATTATGTTACGGTTCATTTTATATGCTTGTTTATGATATTTTAATTGATATTATGGTACATTTGTAGTCCTAGTGATATCATAAGTGTATGTTCAGACACATGTTTGTGTTTATGCGCTGGCTGAATGTAATCCAGGTCCCAAATTCCCGGTACAACAGGGGAAAAGAAATTGTATAGGTTTTTATTCTCCTTATGTCCCGACACTCTGGGCCAATGTTATGGTTTATTTTTTTTGGAATGCAAAGGTATTTGGTTAAAAGTACCTTACAAGTATTCTAGTTAACACTTCTTCAATCAATTGTTTGTAAATGTGTGTACATAACCGTATATCAGAATTTTTTTCACGCGAAAATAAGAATAAAAAGGACCCCAATGAGGTAAAAAAGCATAAAAAATTAATGCTTTAAAAATTCTTACATAGATCGAATTGGTACTTAAAACGAAAAAACGTACAATGGTTGCTAAAGAAAAATAATCATTATTTAATTGAAAAAGGTTATCCTGGTTTTTGTTGCGTTTAATAGTTCAATATGGAATAATTTGCCGTTAGTAACAAAATGTAAAGAATATGATATGCATGATATTAATTTCTTTAACTAATTGCAGTATCAGCTTTATATCCGATGACCGAAACAGAATGCAAAAATAAATTTAAAGCTTTTGAGAAATAGAATAATAGAATTAATGGGACCTATTGAGCCTTTAATTAATATAATTAGACTTTGAACTTGAAATTCTGCCCAACTGATTTCTTTTTTTAAAAAAAAACAGCATTTGCCGCAGCCGTAAATCATCACCCACCAAACCATCACCCTGATGTTGAATGTCACCAAAACAGTGATTGCACCGACCCATGTGCGGATGCTACTGAAAGCCGAGTTTGCCTTAACCACAAATGTGAATGCCAAGCTACACCCATTGGTAAGCGTTCTTTTATTATATCAGATAATTGTTAGTATATAGAAAATGAAAGTTCGTAATGCGACATGCATAATTATATTGTAATTTACAATAATGCACGTTAATAACGTCGCTATTCATTGGATAATCGTGACGTTTATATAGTTTATATACACGCTGCTGTCGATTTATAAAGAAGTCTCGCTTTTATTCCTCTAAAAAAGATGCTTGCTGTATTATAAATTCGTTACAAATATTCCTGACAGGTTATATGGCCGTATATAAACGGTTAATTGCAATATAAACCTCGCCTGGCGGCTCGGGTTATATTTACAAACAACCATTTATATAGGGACATATAACCTGTCAAAAATCTTTATAACTAATAATATACACGGCTGTTGTCAATTTATGAAGAAATCTTTTTTTTTGCTGGAATTATATAGCAAACAACCGTTTATATAGTGTCATGAAACCTGCCAAAACCTTTTATTTTATAAGAGATCCCGAGATCCCAACTTGTGCATAAAGTCTGTTTTTTAATTTGTATGGGTTGACGGGAAATAACCGATGATATTGTCAAGTTACATATTGCTTGAGTATAAAAAGAATTATTTTTTTAATAGTGTGAACGTTTTACATATACTTGTTTACAAACTTAAAGCTCGTAAAATATTTGGAAAGGAGAAGAATTGTGTGGACTGGTGGCCATCCTTCGGTTATCCTCTGAAATAGAGCACGCTTTAACATACATTTATTGTTGTTGGTGATGTTGGTTGTTTTAACTCTTGATTACGACAGTAAGCAACTTTGACTTCATTAGAGCACTGTTCAGCCAGGCAAACTGTCAATATTTTTAATAGTACTCGCCGTGAATATCTAGTAACGCAAGAATGTGCAAATAGAGTAAAAGTAACGCTGAATCTGTGCAACGCAGGAATGTGCAAATAACGTAAAAGTTACGCCGAATCTGTGCAACGCTATTGCCGAAATGAAGAACACAGTAAGCAAAGGAACCAAAATATTTTGTTCTAAATAACATTCTAAGAAATGAAATAGCGCATACGGCTGCTACGACATAATATTTTAACCAGCATTACACTATTTTTCAGAAATATGTTTACTTGTTTAGATCATTATTGAGAAAGACAACCTGATTACTGTTTTAAAGGTGACTTGTGTTTCGTCAAGTATATATTTAAACACATTTAAATCATTTTTTTCCTTCATATAATGTATACCCTAGACATTTGTCAAAGTACAGGTGTCGTGTTACAATAGAAGGAAGCTGGTAAAATAAGAATTAGCTACTTTTAATGAGATAACCGCCGTTGCTTCCGTGCTTCATTCACAAATTGGGCGTTACCTCGTAAAAAGGTCTCAATAACGTTTTATCTGCTAAATTAAGTGTCATATGCGAGAGTAGATTGGAAAATGTCTAAATATAAGGTACACCGAATATAAAAATTCATAAAGTAATATGTACGTTATTGTAGTTAAAGATATTAAGGAAACTAAAAATCGACACCAGTACGCTAATCAGATCGTCATTTTCACGAATGATCTTGAAAAATAAACATTTTCATGGAAATAATTTTGATGAGGTTTAAAGTATAATGTCTCAGCAACCGTATGCGCTAATTTATTTCTTCCATAATGGTGTACAATAAAAAATACTAGTCCATTTACATATCGCAGTGTTCGTTTAAGCCACTAAATTTTACAATTGTGCTCTACTTTTGCACAATTCCTGCGTTGTTTGCACAATCCTGCGTTACTTGATATACACGGTGGTACTAGTGCCTTCACTTCGCAAGGAACTAATAACTTCTGTACATGCCAGAGCAGAGGTACAGTGCGAATGACCGTATAGAGCATTTCATGATCAATTACAGCGAAAGTTACCTGCACCGTTACCGAATCGAACAATGGTTGACTGATACCCATTGAGCTTACCAAGTTTATTGTATCAGATACTTTTAATTTTTACACATATTATCAACAGTGAAGCGTGCACATTGCAATCCCCACGACTGTGTTTGCCCAGAAGGTCAAAACGGTATATGCAATTCGCAAGGTCATTGCGAGTGTGGAAGCCATGGAAAACGTGCTGGTATGTAAAAGACTTCGTCTTATTTTGATTTACAAAAGTAAATGTCAATACCTTTATATTTACAAAAGAACATGTTCATACGTTTGATACATTTTGAATCATTAGAAATGTCAAATTCATTGAGAATTTCACTTAATCACCTTTTATATTGAAGATTATTGCATAAATGTTTGCAATATGCTTATAGCATCTATTTTAGATTTGAACAGAACTAAATAACTCTCTACGTCCTACGTCATCATTTTTAAGCATACTTTAAAGATATAAACAAATTACTTCTCATTCATTTATAAAAATTACATACTTTTAGATTTTAAATAATTGTAGACAAAATGTTGGAATTTGAAAATAAATTGAGAATTTTTTGACACCTATGATAAAGCATCGAAAGTGCAAAAGGTTTTTTAACCTTTCGGGGATGGGCCTAAGTATGTGGATAACTTCGGACATTCGGTCATCCTATGAAACAACACATGTTCTCCATTTAATGTTAACTGTATCTTATACTGTTATTTTATGTGTAGCACATTGCAACCCCAAGGACAGTTCTTGTCCAGACGGTCAAAACGCCATATGCAAATGTTTTAAATCTTCAAAAGTATCAATTTCATATAGAACCGTGAAAATAAATTACCGAATGTAAGCGAGGTAAATGTTTCCCCGGTGAAACAAATTTACAATATATGTTTAAAATGATATTTAATATTTAGAATGCTGTTTGGCGTGTGATGTAGATTGGTAAAATTTTCTTTTTTTAATTTCTTAAACAATTTATGTATGTTAAACATTAATATATGTATAACTTCGAAATGTCTAGGTTGCCATCCCCACGACTGTCAAAACAGCTGTCCAGTTGGTCAAAACGGAATTTGCAATTCCCAAGATAAATGCGAATGTGGAGACCATGTAGGTAAACGTGCCAGTAAGTAACATTTTTTTATTTGTTTCATTTTTTTTCATTTCACTTAACTTGTGTAATGTTGGCTTTCATCTATCAGAAGATAATGTTTTTTTTTTCTTGTATATCGTTTACTTAAGAATAGTAACAACACTTATACATGTATCTTATATTAATATAAACTGCATAAGAACACTGATTGCTACCACAAAATGTATGTACAAAACAAAATTAATTAAAATTTGGTAATCGGAGCTAAATCTTTTTCTCCCCGTAGCCGCCTGCACGGCAGCAACAGTAGCCACTGACTGTACTTGCGACAAGGGTACTGCAGTCTGTAACGAACATGGACACTGTCATTGTAAGTATCATTGATATATATTGACGAAAGAGAATAATAAGCCAGATTCAACCAAAATTCAGGCCTTGTCGCTAGCGAAAATACGAAAAATCAAATTCACTTAACTTAGTCTTATCTTGTTTTGTCATTTCACTTGCGAAACATGCCGCGCAACAAGACGAAACCAATTGAATTTGGCGCGTTATCACAAAGTGATTCGTGTAACCGCGTTTACTCTCATTTTCTCGAACCATTTACCTTATACGATTTTGTGTCCTAATGAATTCAAAAGTTTAACGTATACGATATATGTTATGTAATATATATGTCCTTAGCGCGTGCTGTTAACTGTCGAATATATCACATTTCTCACATGCAACGAAACTGACGCGTAAACATTTTATCAGCACATGAGTAATTTGAAGCAATAAGAGTTTAGATGTGAACACCTATTACCGCAAGGCTACTCTAGGTCATTTATTTTTAAAACATAGAAAAAAGTCTTTACAGATCTTTGTTCATGCTTTTTCTGGAGAATTTTGTGTAGGCCTACTCTTTTTTATGTAAGTGAACATGCACAGTTAAGATTAAAGAAATATTAAATATTGATACTACTGGATTTTACTTATATTTTAGGTAACGAGTGTATGGCAGACGCTGACTGTCCCGCCACACATTGCCATGGTGACCACGTTCCAGCATGTGACGCACATAACAAATGTCATTGTAAACACCCATAATAATTTCATTTACAAAAAATAATAAATTTTGCTTTTCATTGTACTTTAGCATTTGTGTTTAATTATCTTATCTATCATTCTTTAAGACTATATTGAACCATTTAAAATTACAATGTTGTATAAAAACACCATGATAGAGAGAAAACGAGACAAAGGAAAACAAGAAAGCGTAGGATCGATTTGACGTAAACGAAACATTTTAATATTTCTTACGTTTCCATCACCGGATTGACCTATTATCTATTTTAAGTATAAGATAATAAAATATTATTGAATGTTGCTCAGGTAAAAAGCTTGTACGGTTACAGCTTCTACTGGCAATACTATAGTTGTAACGGATGCTGTCATTATGCATGCTTAACGTACATTATACGCTTGTTCATAGTGATATCATTTTTGCTGGAAGTAACAACAACTTGCGTGGGGCGTCCGTGGCCGAGTGGTTAACGTCGTTGACTTCAAACCACTTGCCCCTCACCGCTGTGGGTTCGAATCCCGACAGGGACTTTGGATTCTTTCATGTGAGGAAGTTATCCAGCTATCTTACGGAACGTCGGTAGTTCTACTCAGGTGCCCGTTCGTGCCTGAAATAATGCACGGAAGGGCACCTGAGGTCTTCCTCCATCAGTAAAGCTGGAACGTCGCGATATGACATATACTGTGTCGATGTGACGTAAAACCCAAAACAAACAAACAAACAAACAAAAATTACAACTTGCAAGACACAGAAAACATCTATTTACATTTGACTGAACAACAGTTCAATGCAGCATTGTGGTATACGTGTATTTCATCATGTCGCGTGTTTAAGGGTATTTGTTACATAAACAACATTCCATAAAATATATCGGTAGTTAGAAAAAAATGCCACAGGTGTTTGTTTACCTAGGCATACGAAGGAATCGACTTCATTGCATTTATAGAATTGGTCTTTGAACATACTTCAAACACCGAGCATGTATATCACATTGTATATATAAACACGTTGTCTATTGTTTAGGTAATAGTTAATGGGTAATTTAATGTAGCGTCTAGCAGTACCAATATTATATCCATTAAAGTTGTGGTTTGTGCAGAGAAATATTTCTACTGAATTTGGATTACATTAAATTACAGAAATAGAAATAATTTCGACAAAATCAAGATTGAACTTTATTACGTGTACCACCATTACCTATTTTTAAGACACCGAGGAATATCAGTGATCATTTTGGCACTTATATTTATATCAAATTCAAATTACCCAAATCAGCACCTTACAAAAGACTTGTATGGTATTACAATTGCGCTGATCTTGAGAAACTTAACGATTTAATAACAACAACAGACTGGTCATTATTTACTCTAATACACTTCTTGATGAAGCAACCGAAAACTTTAATGTAAAATTCATGGAGCTTGCAAAACAGTGTATGCCTTCTAATTACATAACTATCAGACCAAATGACAGACCCTGGTACGATTTACTACCCGTAAAGAATCGTCAAAAAGCAAAAGCTGTCCAATCCTGAGAAATTACCGATTGGGTTAAATATAAACAACTTCGAAATAAAGTAAATAATCTTAAAACACACGCAAAACAAAAAAACTATAATGACTTAGAATACTCATTAAGTGACAGTAGTGAAAACAGTCAAACAGCTTGTGAAAGAAAATAAAAATTGTGAAATTATAGACCCTTTCATTTAAGACCGCATTCAAGTTGTCGCCCTTGGATGACGTCATTTGGGGATATGGTGGACAATGCCGATACGATTAAGTACAACCATAGAGGGATATAAAGATCTTAATCCTTTCTCTTTTAAGATTTGCAGATTGAAATTGCCAAAATTGTGTGTAATTGAATAAGATATTACATAAAAAGGATGGTGAACTGAATAAATATGTTTACTATATAAGATGTTTAACGATTTGTTTTAATAGTAGACCATATTCCTGTGTATTAAACTGATCATGATTACCATTTTCGTTAGATTCTTAATAATGAAAATTTTACCAGGCAGTTAAATCGTACTAACTTGCTAATACCAGAGATATAGATAATGTATCTATGTCTCTGCTAATATACAATACCCAAAAGATATTTTGAGTTTCAAAAATGTAAGGATTCTGTAGTTTCGAAAAACGGCTGCGTAATAATTAATTGCAAGATGCTGGTTAATTAAAATCATTTTGATTTAAGCATTACTAAGACAAAGAAAAGAAAACAATATAAATCTATGTAATTTCAAAAAAAAAAGTAAAGGCACAAAAAGTAAAAATTCTTTTGAATGTACAAGACTATTTGTGTCGGCAAAAAATGCACTCTCAAAAAATCGTACATCACACCAATATATTTAAGCTGGTAAAGTAATATTTTCAACATGATACTTTTTAATTCATACTCTGCTTATCAAATATTAAAAAAAAATCACAAAATAACAACAACAAAAACAAGTTGTTAAAACGCGTTCACAGAAATTCGTTATTAACTTAATTATTTTTTTACGTATTTTTGACGGACTCTGGATCGAGTATCAAATCAATAAGGCATGACCAATAAAGTCTCTAGGATGATCCATTACAAAATTCGGACCATAAATGTTTTGACAACTAACAAAAGTGACATATCTAATGTTATGTTATAACTCTAAAAAATGAACCCTGGTGATTTATGATATCACAGTCAAGTGCCGCTTGTATATACAACATATGTACCCTGTTAATTAATATATTACGGCCCAGTGGCGCTTATATACACACATCTATTTATCTATGAAATAAATTACTGGGAAAAGGCCTTTAAAGAATGGTTTTTAATATCAAAATTATCTTATTATCGTCTGTTGCGAATCTAAAATTATAAAAGTCGATGCCGCATGGTTTTCGTTCTTTCCGGAATATTTATAAAATTATATCCTTCACTGGTTCTTTAATAAAAATATTTTTATACGGCATAATGAAAAAGAATCAGTAAGTATTGACATAATGCATTCTGTTATTGTTCTATCAAAGTTTGAAAAACAATCATTAAAAGACATTGGCAATCTTATTTTCAGGTTTGTAACAAATACGCCGGAATTTTCTATATGACAGAAAATGACACAGAAAACTAGAAAATGGCCATTTAAATCTATAATAGGCAATTTCAGTGTGGATGGGTGTTTATGAAATATTAAAGTTTGATTTAGTTACTAGCTTTTTATCCTGGTAATTGAGAAAATCTAGATCTAATAAATATATTCACATTGAAATTTCGCTGTTTCACTCCGTAGCGACACGGATTTATAAATCCGTGGTAGCGAGAATTAATCTCAATCTTTGTTTTTGTATTTTTTCTATTGTCTTGATATTGAATTTATGTATGCATGCGTAATTTTTTACATGTTATCATCATAATTGAACGATCAGTATTTACGCATTTAACTTTTCAATAAACTAACTTTCTATGCGGCATGCATAGTTTTATCCCCCATTTACGTCACATCCGGTAAGGGAAGTAACTCTTCCCTGACTATTATCGCTTAAATGAAAGGGTCTATATCCCCCCCCCCCCTTAAATATTGAAATTAATGGAAATAATGTTATCAATTCTTCCGATACTGAAAAAGCTATTGTTTGAATGATTATTTTGATTCTATATCAACAATTGACGCCGCTAATGCAAGTCTTCCAAACGAATGAAGTTTTACAATCTTTTCAAATTCTTGAAATGGAAATTATTGATATATTTTCATCCCTTGTAATAAATAAGTCATCAGGCCCTGATAAAGTAAGTCATCCGTATGCTTAAAGAATGTAAAACCTCTATTTGTAAGCCTCTTTGTATTCTATTTAACCGTTCACTATCTGAAGGTGTATTTCCGGCCTCTTGGAAATCAGCTGTTGTCATGCCGCTTTTTAAAAAAGGTAATAAAATATCTCTTCGAACTATAGACCGATTTCATTAATTTGTTGTACTGGAAAAAATATGGAAAGAGTTATGTTTAAACACATTTAAAACCATTTACACGCAAATAAATTAATTTATGAAAATCAGTCTAGATTTTTGCCAGGGCATTTGACTGTGTATCAATAACTGGACATCTACCATCAAATGTGTTATTCCTTTGATAATAAAATCCCAACATGTATGGTTTTTTGTGATATTTCAAAAGCATTCGATAGAGTATGGCACGAAGGACTTATATTCAAATTAAAACAATACGGAATTAATGGTCAGATTCTGAAATGGATTAATAATTATCTAAGTAATCGAAACCAAAAGGTCTTTGTTGGTTCCTCCTATTCTGAAAGTAAATATATCACTGCTGGGGTCCCCCAAGGCTCTGTCCTTGTCCCCTTATTATTTGTAATTTATGTCAATGACATTGCCGATAATCTAATCAGTGTAACAATACTTTTTGCAGATGATAGCTTTCTCGCAGTTTCCGGTTCTGATATTGCTTTTATGGAACGTTCCTTTAATGAAGACTTAAATAGAATTACGAAATGGCCGAAACGGTGGCTAGTAAACTTTAATCCTAACAAAACAGAAGTGTTGTTTTTTTTCACACTTGGATCTGACAATAAGCCATCTCTCTACTTTGATAATGTTTCTCTTGATTATGTTAACAGTCATAAACACTTAGGCGTCACTTTTAGTACGGATGGTAAATGGCATGACCACATAAACAATATATTAATGTCTGCTTCCAAAGTTCTAGCATCTATAAGAGCATTAAAATACAAACTTAAACGAAAAACTTTAAATCAAATATACATTTCCTATATGAGACCAATCTTAGAATATGCGTCAATTGCCTGGGATGGATGCGCGGATTACGAGAAACACTCTCTCGAGAATCTTTGGTTTAAACATATTTTATTCTTTCTCACATAAGCATATTTACATACATGATATTAACAATCAAAACAAGAAAAGGATTAGACTGGAAGAATCTTTAATATGAAGCGGCACGTATCGTCACTGGCCTAACAAGGTATGTTTCTATTGAGCGAGTGCTTAATGTATCATTGTCTTAAAATAGAACTATTCAAAAACTCGTTAGTGTTTAAAGC